TATGAGTGCGTGTGTGTGTGTATGAGTGCGTGTGTGTGTGTATGAGTGCGTGTGTGTGTGTATGAGTGCGTGTGTGTGTGTATGAGTGCGTGTGTGTGTGTATGAGTGCATATGTGTATGAGTGCATATGTGTATGAGTGCATATGTGTATGAGTGCATGTGTGTGTATGAGTGCGTGTGTGTGTATGAGTGCGTGTGTGTGTGTATGAGTGCGTGTGTGTGTGTATGAGTGCATATGTGTATGAGTGCATATGTGTATGAGTGCATGTGTGTGTATGAGTGCGTGTGTGTGTATGAGTGCGTGTGTGTGTATGAGTGCGTGTGTGTATGAGTGTGTGTGTGTGTATGAGTGTGTGTGCATGTGTGTGTTTGAGTGCGTGTGTGTGTATGAGTGCGTGTGTGTGTATGAGTGCGTGTGTGTGTATGAGTGCGTGTGTGTGTATGAGTGCGTGTGTGTGTATGAGTGCATGTGTGTGTATGTGTGTGCATGTGTGTGTATGAGTGTATGAGTTCGTGTGCGTGTGTGTATGAGTGCGTGTGTGTGAGCGTGTATGTATGAGTGTGTGTGCACATGACTGTGAGTGTGTGTATGAGTGTGTGTGTGCATGAGTGTGTTTGTGTGTGCATGTGTGTGTATGAGTGTGTGTGCGCATGACTGTGAGTGTGTGTATGAGTGTGTGTGCATGTGTGTGTATGAGTGCGTGTGTGTATGAGTGCGTGTGTGTGTGTATGAGTGCGTGTGTGTATGAGTGCGTGTGTGTATGAGTGCGTGTGTGTATGAGTGCGTGTGTGTATGAGTGCGTGTGTGTATGAGTGCGTGTGTGTATGAGTGCATGTGTGTGTATGAGTGCGTGTGTGTGTATGCGTGTGTGTGTACGTGTGCGTGTGTGCGCGCATGACTGTGAGTTTGTATGCTTGTGTGTGCATGAGTGTGTATGAGTGTGTGTGCATGTGTGTGTATGAGTGCGTGTGTGTGTATGAGTGCGTGTGTGTGTATGCATGAGTGTGTTTGTGTGTGCATGTGTGTGTATGAGTGCATGTGTGTGTATGCATGAGTGTGTTTGTGTGTGCATGTGTGTGTATGAGTGTATGAGTTCGTGTGCGTGTGTGTATGAGTGCGTGTGTGTGAGCGTGTATGTATGAGTGTGTGTGCACATGACTGTGAGTGTGTGTATGAGTGTGTGTGTGCATGAGTGTGTTTGTGTGTGCATGTGTGTGTATGAGTGCATGTGTGTATGAGTGTGTGTATGAGTGTGTTTGTGTGTGCATGTGTGTGTATGAGTGTGTGTGCGCATGACTGTGAGTGTGTGTATGAGTGTGTGTGCATGTGTGTGTATGAGTGCATGTGTGTATGAGTGTGTTTGTGTGTGCATGTGTGTGTGTATGAGTGTGTGTGCGCATGACTGTGAGTGTGTGTATGAGTGTGTGTGCATGAGTGTGTTTGTGTGTGCATGTGTCTCACTGCTGTTTCCTCCTCCGTGCCCTCCAGCTGCTGTCCTTGGGAGTCTCCACTTTAGGACCTTTGATGGCCTCCGGTACACTTTCAGCGGCAGAGGAGAGTACGACCTGGTGCGTTCTCCACACCGAGCGCTGAGTGTTCAGGTCAGAGCGGAGCGGGTGAAACTTGAGAACGGTGAGTCTCCGTCTAACGAGAATTCCCTGCTTGTATCTGCTCTTTCATCCCAATGTTCCCAGTTCACCCCTCACTGTCCCACAGCTTCCTTTGTTCTGGAGTCCTGCAGGAAGCGTTTGAATGTCCTCTAGAATGATTTTTCTTTAAAGTCGTTTCTCAACAGTAAAAAAGGTGATTTAGGTTCTGTCGTTAGATCGGTGAGATGGAGTGTCTGGAATAATAACGTTTACTCAAACTCCAGATTATAATTCATCTGTAAGTAAAAGGAGGTTTTGTTTGTTTGTCATGAGGAACTTTGGTCCGAGCCACACGGCTGGCATCAGTGGCCATGAGGGAGAACTCTTCTGATGTCATCGAGGTGCGACTTCAAGGCGAGCATCTTCAGGTGCTGAGGAACAAAAGCATTTTACCTTTTTCTGAGCAAAGCTGGATGGATCTGCAAGGTGAGGCGCTTCAAGCTGCTCCTTCGCTGTGATTACTTCCCCTCGGGGTCAGAAGAGGTTTGAGCTGGTGGAGGTGGAGCTGATCAAAGACATGGGGAGCCATTTTCACAATCAGTTCTAGTGTTAGGGGCGAGGATGAATGAAAACGCGGTCCTGAAGGACATTCCAACATCTACAGTTTACAGTTCTCTCACTGATGTTAAGTAATGTTGAATGTTTTTATCTGACTTTTATCATTTTTGTAATAATTTCCCGTTTAAACTAAATCTAAACATCTTCTCCTAGGTGTGTTTGTGTTTGTGCCCAGTCCTCAGAACGTGACTGTGATGTTCTCCTCCGGAGCTGCCGTGGAGCTTCGTCTGGATGAAGGAACCATGACGTCCACCGTCTTGCTTCCGGCAGAGTTCTCCAACAAGACCCGGGGTCTGCTCGGCCAGATGAACTCAAATCCATCTGATGACCTCGTGACCCCTGCTGGAAACGTCGCCTCCTCAGCCAACGCCACACTGGAGGAAATCTTTACTATTGCATCTGAATGTGAGTCTGCTTCGTGTGTTCATTAAAGAGACAATGTGTAGTTTTTACCAATAATTTCTGGAAATATCCATCAAAATGTTGTTGGAAATGAAATAAATGATGCCCAGTTGTTGAAAAATATTGGCAGCTTAGTAACATAAAACCATGAAAATCAGGTCTAAAACACAGGAGCGTGTCTTAAGTGTGTTACTCAATGTCAAGGCGCCTGGCCTGGCGAGGTGATGTCTTGCGAGGCCAGGCGCCTTGCTCACAAGGACGCTGTCCTTCCTTGGTCAAAGAAAACGGTTAAATGGAACAGACTTGCATCATGTGACCGCAGCTTCCACGGCCGTCACGTAACGTCACGTGACACGGGAGATAACGTTATATTTTATACGTATTAGTTTCGACATAAATATATAACGAGCCTTTTACTTTTTAAATTGTGTATATGTTTATTAAATTAAATATATAAGCGAGTTACTACCCGCTAGCCACCGAAGCTGCAACTACTAAGCTACTAACCAACCACAGATAACTTCTTTGGATCTAAAAGTACATTTTAAATTAGTTGACTTACTTTTAAACTTGAAAATTGTCCCTGAAGTAGCTGCCGGCTTCTGATCCGCCATCCTTTTGAAAATGCCACGGTGTATTCTGGGTAATTTTTGACCAAGGCTAGGCTACAAGACACCTGCCGTGTGTCCTCGCTCAGCTAGCTTAACGGCTAACAAACGGAGAACACGCCTCGGTAGAACATGAACACTGGAACACGTCTTGGCGGATACTGATGACGTATCTCCTAGGCAACCGGGGCGGGGCCAAGACATCAAGGCAAGGTTCCTTGGCATCGAGACACACCCTAAGTCTCTGGGCGACGCCATATTAGATGCCATGTTTCCTTCTATGGGAGCCCGTGAGGACAAACTGCATTTACTGATTTGTAATAAATGGTTACAAACTTTCATCATTCTTAAATGTTGTTTTACACATTTACCTGTTCACTAGTTACACACTCTCTCTTTATTCTGCTCTCCCCACCTATTCCACCTTTCTCAGGATCCACTGATTTCCCTCTTTCCTGTTCACTCTCTCTCTTTCTTAACATTTTTTAATCACAATTGTCTATTTTTGCTCATTTTAAACATATTTTTTAACATTTTCTAAATGCTTTTGTATATTTTTACATTTTTTGTTTTTGTGAAGCGCCTCGTGATTTTTATCTTGAGAGGCGCTTTAGAAATGATATCTTCTTCTGCTTCTGCTTCTTCTTCTGCTTCTTCTTCTTCTTCTTGTCAGTGATGAAGGGAGTCTGATGTGCTTGTATTTAGCTAAAGTTTGCACTCCACAGGGCTTTTTGACCCTAATGGGCATCTGTTGGTAAGGTCTTCCTCCAACACAAAAAAACTGCTTGCTTGCAATGATTTAGGTTTCTACTGCCCCCTATCGCCAGGAAAAATACACACAGTCACTTTAATGATCTGGTTCAGAAATGCTGATGCATCTCAGAAGCACCTTCATTTAATAACTTTAGAAAGTCGAGAGCTGTTCTCTTAAAACTACTCCAGAAAACACATTTCTGCTTCAGTTACCCATTACGTCTGGTTACGTCTGCGCTGTAATAATTATAGTAATTATCTCCTAGAATTGGTTGGTTTGGGGCATGTAGGGAAAATACATTTTTGTTTTACATAAACACGAGCAGCACAGCTGTTAGTTTTTATTGTTTATTCTCAGTAATGGCAGCTTGCAGCCAGTAAACACAGCCTGGTTATTATTCAGGCTGTTAGTAATAATAATTAAACATAATTATTCTCCAGGATAAATAATAACTATTATTTGTTTCTATTGAAACGCAAACTCCCTCCAGGAAACACTAGAATATGGTTTCCTGCTGCATTCTCATCTTTTGTTGCCAGTAGTTTTTATTTGGGTTTGCATCTTAAATTCTAATTTTTTTTCCTTTTGAGAGAATTGATTTATTTCTCTGTCAATGTTAGTTTATTCATATATCACACAATAAAAACAACAAAAAATGATCAAAGTGTTTTAAAATTTAGTCAAAGTAATAAAAAAAACATAAAATATGTTCAAAGAATAACTAAAAAAATACATAAAATACCAAAACGCAACAAAAATGTATCGGCTCTATCTGGGTTTTGTTTTCTGCTTGATTTAAAAGACGTAAACAGCAGTTGACCTCACTCAGACCCCTGTGGGACTCCGAAAGCCAAAACGGCTGCAGCTGAGGATTTATTTCATATTCACCACATTTTTCTTTGAACCAAGTTCATTCTGCGCTCACCACTATTTATTTCTGCCAACAGGGAACATTTCAAAGGCGTCTTCCCTTTTTACTTATGACTCTCGGTACCTTTTGGACTCATACTTCCTTCCACCGAGCCACGACTCGGCTTTTGTTCCTGCCTTTTCTCTGCCCGAGAAACCCGATGACCCTCTGGTGGCCGACATGTTGTCCGTGTGTTTGGGAGAAGGGGCTCAGCTCTGTAAACATGATACTCTCATCACTCGGAGCCTTGCGGGGGGAAACGCCACACTGAGGGCCCTCCGAAGTCATCGAGCTTTAATGGAAGCCCTGGAGCCAGGTAATGCATGTCACTAGATTTCCTTTGAACTCACAGCCTGACATATTTGTATTTTCTGCTTGTAATATTTGAGAAACCAGCTGCAAAAGCTGGTGGGATAACATTTCCTGTAGCAGGATCTCACTAGTCTGAGTGTAGCTGTTATGTTACCCCCATCTGTCACTACTTAAATAAACAAACTGTATTTCTGTCGCAAAACACTTGATTGCCAGCGGTTTTTGATCACGTCTTAGTGGCGTCATGTGGCTGGCTTCCTGCTCCCAGGAACGGGAAGAAGAATGGGACACGTTACCTGCAGGGGAGCACCCTGAGCTTCACCTGCAACGGCGGCTACGTGCTGTACGGGTCAACAGAGCGCACCTGTGAGGAGAAAAGGGCCTGGAGCGGACTGCAGACTCACTGTGTCACAGGTGAGCTGTCGAACATGTGGATTTAACACTGACGGATAAATAATGTATAACTATAGAACACTGTGTTGGCTGTAAAACACAACAACAGACTAAATAAAGACGTCGTTTGACTTTTTCTCCCTGAAAGCAAAAGTTAAGCGGACTCCGCTCAGCAGACTTTAAGTTAGAAAGACATAACCATCTGAACCAGGATCAGCCTGGCTTCATGTCAGTGAATTAGAAACACCTGGCCACCTTTGGTGGCTTGATGCCGTTGAGAGCTGCTGCCACCAGGTGGCAGTATTTCTGCACTATTTCTGCTGGATCCATGAACAAAGTTTCAGAAGCAGGCCTAAATCAGCTTTGTGCTTTTGGATGTTTGTTTTTTTTCGCCTTCTTGCACGTTTGGGTGACGGTAATCAGCAGTGAAGGAAGGCCACTTGGACTGCGATCCACCCCTTCGTGCATCCATCTCTGGCCTTCAGCCCATCCTGTTCTGGTTAGAGCTGCAAACCGAGACTTCCTCGTGCTGATTGGAGCAGAATTAACCTTTAAATGAAATAGATCTGATCAGTCGTGGCCAAGCCAGATCACTGCCAGACACAATCGTCTTCTTATGACCTAAATTACACATGATGACTGACTCACTCGTCTGGATAGCTTCTTGAATGTCCTCAGTTTGGATAAATTGGGATTACGGTTAACATGAGGATTTATTTATTTATAACGTAAACATCATCAACGGTACCAAAATGTTTGACTTCTGTTGCTTTCTTGGGTTAAATCCGGCAGGAATTTCCTTGCATTTTTGCCCAGAAATCCATTTAATATAAAACTGTAAGCAGTTTCGAGATTTATGAAGGAAAAAAGTGTGAAATTTAGAAGATCTGAGCTGTTTCAAGACAGCAGAAATGCACCTTTTGTCTCAGAACGTCAGCTTGTCAGTCCTAAAACGTCTAAAACAGGTCAAATTAAAATAATTTGTCATTTTTGCACAGAAACACGCCAGGAAAATGAATGTCTCTTTATTGTGCAAAAGAACGTTAGAATGGTCCTTTCTTAGTAAAATCTTAGCGTTAAGGTAACTGTGTCCATGCAACTCTTAAGGACACATCATTGGATGAGTTTCTTCTGAGCGAAGAGCATCCCTGGTAAACCCTTTTAACACAAGCGTGCTCATATCAGGCTTTAGCTGCAGCGTGTGACGATGATTGCTTTAATGGTTCCGGCTCTGTGGTTCTCATTACACAAATTGAAGCTAACAACTGTCACCACGACCCGAGGAGCTCAGTGGCTATGGCGTTTAAAGCGTGCCACAACCCGTGCACGCGCATTGGGGTCCACAGCGCGGCTGTGTGAACGGGACTCGCGAGCGGAAATATACATGGCGAGAGGTCATTTGTGCACTGAGAGGGAGCAAACTGTGTCTGTGAGCGCACAAGGATGTGCACAAGTGACAAACCTGCGTGCGCGCGGTTGTCAACGAGCACAACGGCAGAGGAAAACGTGCGCGGCGCGCGGCCAGCCTCTGTGCGCGCTCGGCAGCCTCTCTGCCTGCGCTCGGTTTCTGACTCCTGCTCGCTCGGCTGTAAGGGTTTTGGCACTCTGGAGGCGTGGCCTGTGGCAGATCTCCTCTGTCCTCTGATTGGTTAGTGTACCCCGCACTTTACCCTCTACCTATCTATATAAAAAAGTCTGCTAGTCAAGTAGTCGCTGGCATAGCTCAGTTGGAAGAGCGGGTGACTCTCGCCCCGGAGGATCCAGGTTCGAGGCCGGGCAAGGAAAATGCAGTAGATGTCATGTTAATTTTTCTTAATTTCAGGTATTTTACAGTTGTGACCGTTCAACTGTCATTAAACGTCCGAATGTTTGCTGGGCAGTGTTTTAAAAAGTGCACATAAGCTAGATGGTTT